CAATCTTTATTCTGTCTTGCTGGATTTACATAATGCCATAATTAGAATAAAACTGTTCTCTGTGATCACATCAGCTGGTCAAAAAACATATAATGAAAGACAGAAAGAAAATATGAATAATGGGAAGTGATTTTAGAGAGGGTTTTCTGGCTTTTCCTCCTCCATATAAACTGACCACAGTATTATAAAACACAAGCTGATCTACTCTGGGCACAAGGGCAGCAGACCGTGCGAGACACACTCATTCTTGGCACCAAGATTGCAGTATAGAGCTGGATTGTCTTTGCCACACCCTCTACTGGGGCACACCAAGATACCAAAGTAGCTTAGTTGAGGGAAAAACCACCCCTGGAAAATGTACTGCGCATCAACATGCTCTGCTGCAGAGAATTTGCTTGGACTCTGTAAAGTAACTATTACCTTTTATATTGTTATAATATATAGTTAAGTACAGTATTTCAGTATTTGAGTAAATGTACTTTAGTTTACCATCACACCCACACAAACTTTAAGCTAATAATTGTGTTCCCATAGTAACAGTCAGCGCCACCTGCAGAGGGCAACTGTGCTGTAGTTTGACATAGATACTGTGGAGTAACAGAAGATTAGGAGTTTTTAAGGTAAATCTATGAAAAACCAAGCTGGAAAAGGAAGCCAACACAGAAATTACAAAAGCTGCAGTTTCTCAAACGGCCACTTGAGGCTGGTTACAGAAGTGATCAGTCTCCATAAGGTTCCATATTAAAATGCCTAGCTTTACAGCAGTAATTAAGTAGTTTTGGTCTCTTTGGCTACTTTACCAGCATGGACCAGGTACAGTAAAGCATTTGGTACCGTGTTGGTTTCCTCCACATGAGGCTCACCTGCTTTTGTGAAAATGGAATCGGTGACAAATCCGAGATAAACGTGAGTTATGTTTTTGGGTAACTTTATAAAACATACTGCTGGAGAAACACTGAGAGAAAAACAGAAAACCTCCTTGTAACTCATAAACACTTCTAGAGTGAACAGAGTTAGTGCAGTTAATACAATTATTTCTTCCTCTTATACATTGATATTATTATCTGACTATACGCACTAGTCATATAGTCACAGTCTTTGTAAAAACCACCCCATCAACAGAATCAGATTAGAAGGACAGACTTGAATAGACAGCTTGAGTTTGTTCTACAACAGATTGCACTTTAGTGGCTTCTTGACTCCTTTGATTATATTTCCAATACAACCAATTCCCTCGGAGTTCCTCCCAGGCAGGCTTTGCCCAGACCACACTTACACACACACAGAAGAACTGGCCAGTGGATTAATGCTAAGCTGATGAATCATATCAAACAATTACCCTGTTTTCCCACTGAGGAGGATGGAGGGCTGTGATGGCGGAGGCGACAAAGTCCCAGTCCCTGCAGACCATGAAAGCATTTTCTGGCTGCAACTTCAGACGCCGTTGGATCTCCATCCTGTCCCGAAAACACAGACACGTCTGTCTGCTGGCCACCCTCTTGGGACACTGCACAACACACATCAAAAACTACCGGCTGTTCGCTCTGTAAACACAACAACAGAGAATAAACATCAGCTGGTCAGATTATGCAACTGTGATCAGGGTTGGGTGCTTGCAGTTATTTAGGTTTTACAAACCACTGGGCCGTTGCTGCGCTGGCCATCGATCATGTATGGATGACCTTGATAAAGGCCACAAGCCAAAAACTCAAAGACTCTGCCAGGCTCTTAGAAGTGGTCAAAATTATTTTCCCTTGCTCTTTTTTTCCTGGAGCCAGCTGTAAATCGCACCAGAGAACAGGACAGTCACGCTTGAGTTTGTCCATCGTACAGGCTTCAATAGAAGTGAATGAGAAACAGAGCAAATTTTCACAGGACGGACATGTAATGTGACCATATCTTTATTTGAACCCATCTCTAATTCCAGCTGCACTATCTGCAGTTATCAGTCATTATTCTGTGACATACCAACTGCATGCTACAGACTGGTGATGAAAGCTGAACATCTAGCAACTAAAGAGACATACATTCTCAGGAGACCAATCCAGAGCTTACATTCATCAAGTGGACAGAATCATGACTCATCAATGTTGTGCTGCATCTGCTGGATGTTAAAAGAGGTAACATAGCATTTCACGTTGTTAACATGTCAGGCCTATGTGGAGAGGGTTTATTTTTGCCTCCTGAATCATTAATGAATAGATTTTGTTCTGGGTGTTCTGTTATTTTTGCAGGTCTAATTAAACTCTATAATAAGACAAACAAGATGTTTAACCTGGCAAAGCAGAAGTTCTTAAAAGTTAATAAGCATTAATAACGATAAACCATTCAAAATCAATTACGGTAATAAACCCATCATAAAGTATGCCTGAGTAAAACTTGGTACCATTTCTTTTGAAAATCCACTTAAACTGCCATCCTCTTAAATGTTAACAGATTTGTAAACAATGGTTCCCAGGTAGCCAATAATTTCCAAGATAATTCATGATGAATGTGACTCAGTGCAGTGCTCTGTCTGTCGAAGATGCTGACTCATTTTTCACATAGCTGCTATCTCTGTTTTAACAAAACTCTCATTAATATCAGTGATCATCACAAAGCCGGTGTTTTCCTTCGTTCTCTTCTGTGTTATTCTCATTCCTCACTGTCGCGCAGAGGGTGAATTATTAAGCAGAGCATGCGTCCTTCCCACTCCTTTGCCGCCATCTCCTCCATGACTCCTCTACCATCTTATCTGAGCGGCCTCCTCCAGCCCACAGCTTCCTCCTGGCGACCTCCTCTTGGCTGCATGCCAGAGTGCCGATCACTGCATCTGTCTGTCAGCAGAATACCAACTGATTAATGCTTTCACTGCGCCCATTAATAAAACTGCCGAGAGGCTGCTCTCTCTAATTGAGAGGTACAGCTAGGGCTGCATTGGACCAAATGAGAAGGACATATACAGTAGGGCTGTGTTGAGTCATGGGCGGGTGCATGTGTTTTAGGGGATGAAGAGTGTACTGCTCTTGCTTCTGACAACCAATGATATAGTTGCTCTAGTGCAAAAAACAAACGGTGCACTCAGTTATTTACGTGAGGGCTAAAGAATGAGGGTACCCACAATGTTTTATCGGATTTGATTAAATGTCTTTTCCTGTCCTGTGTGACAGTAGCTGTTCTCCAACTTTGATCTTGATTTTCTGCACAGCAGCAGAATCATTGTAGTGTAATGATAAAGTACTGGTGTCTAGGCCACTGGCACCAGCAGTGATCCACGGGCACTCTGCTGGACACACCCTGACTACTTGGCTCGTTTGCCCCATCCATCTCCGCTGTTCTCATACGGCAAAGAATTCCAGTGCTGCAATCATTTTTTCTGGAGATGACGGGAGAGGATACACTTCTGTGACACGTGTCTGAGACAAAGTGTGGCTCTACTGGTCTGGTGTGTAGTATGGGGTATACAGAGATATAGCAGGTTAGCTTCTTTTTTTTAAAGAGTACTAAAGAATAAAACTGGTGTTAATTTTACTGTATTGCGCTGTGATTTTTTTCCCCCAGTTGGAATGTCCAGTTCCCTCTGCAATGCAGTCACAGCTAACTCTACTGTTGCCCTGGGCAAGCTGAAGACAGCCATATGCCACCTCCAGTTGCTTCCTGTCACCTGCCAGTGATGATTTTCAGCTGGTGGGTATAATGTGTGATTCACACTATCCCACCAGTTTCATGCCCTGACAAACCAGTACAAGCTACCACACTGGCTTCCTACCTGCAAACATGGCCTACTGTGTTTGTTGCAGCACACAACCCAGCTGGAGGTGCCATTACTGAGAATGAATCTCTGAATCTTTGTGGTGGAGGGATAGAGGTTTATTCCTATTAACAAATACCCTGACTGAAACCAGCAATGGATTTATCCCATGAAGTAGTCACAGTCAGATATAATATAAACTCCAGTGAGCCACCCTGTTGGCATAGACATATGACTTTGTTATGATTATCATGGCTGATGTAGTCTGTCCCTCTCATTAATAAAGCATAACTGAGCATGTTCAATTCTGAGTCTGTTTGCACAAAGGCCAACACTGAGATAAAAATACTGATGCAGAGTTGTGTCAGAGTACTGTCAGCTACACTTGTTATGGCGTGGCATTAAAGGAATATATATAACAGTATGGCTCATTCACAAGTTTCAGAAGTTTGTTGGACAAAACTGGATTTCTGCGGTGCCCTGGTATCTCACTGCGTGCCCCATGTACAAAGGTTGAGTCCTTAATGCAGTGGCCATGGTCCAATTTGCTGCATGTCGTCCCCTCTCTCTCTCTCTCTCTCTCTCTCTCTCTCTCTCTCTCTCTCTCCCCCCCCCTTTCCTGTCTGTATAAACCTGTCCTGTCCAATAACAGCTGGATTTTTATGGCGCGAAGGCATAAGCTCCACCACAACACAGATACTTTTATCAAGATAAATTAATTGTTGGTTAAGTGTTGATACACTGTTGAACCAGCATTAGCCTTCATTTGTCATGTGGTATTGATGCATATAGCTGCCAACAATTGCAATGTAGGCTCTCACTTTTGTGAGTGCTGTATTCCAAAGTGGGCTTTGGGGAGGTTGGCACACAGTGTATAAAAGAGAGGCTTACTGATTGGAGTGAACCAGAAGGGTTAATGGGAGGTTTTTGAATTTTAAGGTTGTAACATTTAGGACAACAACGGACAAACCAAACACTGGCTTGTTTTTACTCCCAGGTTGTCATATACAGACACGAGTGGTGTTCAGGTTGTTGCAATCTGCAACTTCACCACTAGATGCCACCAAATGCTACATGCTGGTCCTTTAAATGGAGACATGCAAGAAAACTAATTTCTTTCATAGGCTACTGGCAGAGTGTAGGACAAATCACGAAATGAAGGTATTTCTGGAGTGAACCTGTCAAAGCTGGATGAAAAACACATTGTTCGCTCCCCAATTATAAACATGTTGTAAAACAACTGTAACTCTAACAGAGCCCACTGGCCATATTGTTATGTTGGCATCAAGGTTTATTATCCTTTTTATAATGTACAATATACAAAAATATAGGGTACCAAAAAATTCACAGTGTCTAAAAGGCAGTGATTACAGTCTACATGACAGGTCTAACAGTACACCTGGTAAGTTGCATAGAAGGGCACAGAGCCTCACATCGCAGGGGACAGAGCTCAAAATTGATCAAATGACCGGCAGACCAGGCCAATAGAGGCTTAGTTAGGTCAAAACAACATTTTTTATATGACTGTTTGCAGCCTATTATATTTGATACTCTGATATTATCAGTGCTATGCTGAGTTTTTTCAGTCCGGATTCATATGTCTCTGGAAATTAGATGTTTGAGCAGCTGGGAAAGGTCATAAGCCATGGGCGGTCGGTCACATTGTGGAGCTCTGTCCCCAAACAAACCTCATGGTTGGTGTGTACTTAGCTGCTGCACTTTTTTAAAACAACTATAAGGCTTTTTTTAAACAAACAGTGTTAGCTATATAATATACAGATACATTTACACGATCCTCTGCAGGGTCATTAAATGGGCTGCAGAAGGCTGTTGCTCCTATATACAGATAGAGCTCTCATCTCGTGCATGTACAGTAGCTGAACTGAAAAGCATTGCTGGGTTAGCATTCATCGATCAGGCAATAATAATAATAATAAAATATAGCTGTGAAAATGCCCTTTATAAACCAAGCTTTGACTATAAATAGTGTCCGTTCCAACTCCGCAGGAACCAGAGGTGCGATGCTTTAACTTACAATGATTAACATCTCATACATGAAATATAGAAAGAACGTCTGGAGTGTCAGCGACAGAATGTGGAAAAAAATGCACCAAAGAAAATCCTCCTCATTTATAGTTTTATGTATGAAAGCATTTACATTGTACAAAATACAGCAACCCCCCCTTTGCTCATTCAGGCATACAGACACGCAAAGATAAGAGTACATGTGTTTACATACGTACACACATACACACACACACACACACACACACACACACACACACACACACACACACACACACACACACACACATGCACTCATTTTGATCTTCACACAGGCAAACCTCTAAGCAAGCATCATGTAGTTTTCTTTTCTTTTAAAGCGGGGCCAAATGGATATTTTGTTACAGTCATTCTTTGTAAAAACCATATCAACAATTTTTTGTGTTTTATATTTGTGTTAACATTTCATGTAGTGAAGATGCAATGGTTACTACACTTCTGACAAATCAAGAAAACAAAGGAATGTGTGAAATTAGAGTAACAAGAATTAATCAGCTATATCTTATTTAACAAAATATTTCCTCCTATGCTACGGCTCGTCTGAGAATAAAACAAATATCATCTTAAAAAACAAACATTTAAAAAAAGAACAAGTGCCAGTCTACTAGCTTATTCTACCATCATAGAAAACCCAATCCAGTTGTTCAGCACACTGGCCATATTTGATATGACCACCGAGCTATTTAGCACTCAGTAGAATTGATGCATCCATTAGAGAATCAATTGGAGAATCAATCAATTCCCTTTCAGAAGTCTTTATTGTTCTTGGGAAAAAAAACCAAACAGAAGAAATAGAAAGAAAACAAATCTCGCCCCTGCCCTCCATTGCATACAGGCACCCAAGGCATTCCCAAAGCTTTATATACAGTTCAGAACGCTTCCCACAATCCCCCTTTGCTCTGACTTTATGAGTAAACGCTCTTGTCCTCAAAAGTTGTCTGACTCTGATCATAAGCAGATTTATTGAATATTTCTCCAACTCAGGCTGATGTAGCTTTGTGACTCTTCCAAATGTCTGAAAATCAACTCTGAAGTTCTTATCTTTTCTGTCACATGAAATACCAACAATGGAGGGCGTGCATCCGCCCCTAACAACCTAGCTGATATTGATCTCTAATTTATTTCATCATCGACTTCATTTAGTTTACTCTTTTGTTGTTGTTCTCCTGCTCTGTGCCGTTCTGGACATAACAATATGCGCCGTTTGATCTCAGTTGTTCTCAGTGCTTTTGTTGTCTACGGACTCACAAGTTCATTACAGGCTGAGAATGTGGTTAGTAATAGAGAGGCGTGAAATGGTGACCCAGGTCCAGAGGAATGTAATATATATATATTTTATGTTCTGTTCATGTTTGTCTCTGGAATAGCGGATGCTTGACTCAGCACCTGCGCTGAGGTGTTCTGGTCATAACAATCTGTCAAAACCCATAACTCGTCCTGCTAGAGTTTTCCACAGGATCCCCACATGAAGCTCTGAGTTGACACTGCTATATCCAGTCAGAGCCTTACAATAACACACCCCCAGCTGGTTGTCCTTGAATACACCAGGACACAGGGCCTTGTTGTCCAAACCCACATCTCCTGATGGAAAGTTCCAGAAACGCCCTTGAGGAAACAAACCCTACCATGTGGAAGAGACTATGGGAGCGAGGAGAGGGGCGATGGCGAACCTGTCCGAGCTCTGAGAAATGTTTCGGTTCATGTCGGTTCAGTTATGTCACCATTGTATTGGGGTGGTGTCCGTTTGGGGCAGTGCCAGGGGGGTTCAGAGAGCCAGTTGTGGGGCGTGTCTCAGCTGTTGTTGCTGTGGTTGTAGGTCCTGCATGGCGAGGGGGAGGAATTGGGCTGGTAGTCATATTTGCCAAGCGCTGTGGGATAGTAGGTGGTCGTGTAGACGTTTGTCTGCTGGAGCGGTGTTGGGTAGAAGTTGGATCTTTCATCTGGTAGCAGGTTGTTCTTGTTGAGTGTCTGGAATGACACAACACAGAAAAAAAAGAAGCTAATTAAACTTTTCACTCTTACAGCTAATAGAACCGTACAGTATGTTTCATATTTTATTCCAAATTACTGGTTAAAAAATTAACATTACTAAGATTAATTGACAAGGAGCACATATCTGTACTGCAGAAAATATACAAAATGGAAATACACTTTTGTCACCATGCTTTATCCTTTAACACTAAGATAACTTTCTCCTGGCTGTAAAGCTCCCCTCCAATAATCTTTTCATTAGTCTGATAGTTCAAAAACAAAAACAAAAACAACTCTGTTTTGGAGCTGCATCTTGTCACCGGGACTAAAGTATAAAGGGATTGTTGCAACATGGACCTTTTCTGTTGTAACACAGTATCTACCCCTCTTTCTATTTTAAGATGCACACATTCCTAGATTTCTTTTTTTAAATTAACTACACTGGAAGATGTTTCCTGTTATTTTGGGCTCAATTACAGACAGAATTGTACTCGTTAAGAAGATTGTTGCAGGTGGACACCATTTTCTGTGATTTCTGCGAATAATAAAAAAAAATTCTTGCCCACAGGTGATTAAAATACCTCCACTAGCCTTGAGGTTATAGCTTGTGTGCTGTAAGTGTATTCATAACCTAAGCAAACCAATTTAACAAATTTAATTTAGTTCATGTCAAGCATACTCAATACACTAATATATGAGATGGCGGGAATTCACTGCAGCGCTCTTAAATAAAAACAAGTCTAAAATTCTAATGCAATTGCTGAGTCTCTGGTAAAAGCCGACCATAAGGTGAAACACTTTCCAAGGGAAGCATTAGACTAATGTAATCCATCTGAACAGCTCTGGGGACTGAGGCAGGAAGATAATCAGGTTAGAGTCTGTGAAATACACAACGCTGGGCATCATAAATTGGCCTGGAGGAGAGGGAACCTGCTGGATAAACAGTGCTGTAGTGGTACACAGTGACATCGGCTGCACATCCAGCAGAGTCTGGCCCCTTCTGACCATTAAAGCTAATGAGTTCAGGCTCTCAGCGCCACGATAGCTGTCAGCACAGCATCCACACAGCAACAATAACAGCACGGACAGCAAGTGTCGGGAGGCTGACCCGATCAAAAGCACAGGGATGGGTCATTGTGGTTAGGCACCATGTTCCTGCCATGCTTCGGTAGGATACTGTCAGGTTGACTGAAAAAGGTTAAGATGAATCTCTGCTGGCATACATTAGCTGAAGTCAGACAAAGGTCATGTTCAGACCCTTAAAAAAGGGGTGCCATACTAACTGTATGGTGATTAAAGCAGCACTTAAGCATTTTAGTATTGCACTTTAATAAAAGAGACAGATTTTTAAAATTCATTTTAAAGTATCAGAAACCAGGACTTTTAGTCAAGCTTAAGAAAATGCTGGATTCTACAATTCCCATAATGCAGGAAGATAGCATCTTTCATTAGACCTTCCCTGTCTTAAAGTGCCTTCCATCTTCCAAACTCCACACCTCCAATTTTCTCAAGTCTCAACCTCAACCTGACAGAGCCCCGATGACATCATCAGGGTTGGTGAAGCAAATAAAGGTCACTCAAACAGCATTGTTGTTGTTTCCCTAAACCAATTTTTACATGGGGTATGAGTTTAATATGATGCGTAGCCCCACAACTCAAGGGGCTTGTATCAGTGAGCTATGAAACTGCCTTTTGGGTAAAACTGTTCTATGATGTATTACAACTTAATGTTTTCATAAGAGTAAGTCAATTTGTTGGAATCCGAATTGAAGCAGCGACTTGCCGCTGCTTAACATCAACAAAAACAAAGGCCGTGGAGTCTGAGATGCAACAGATGCAACAGCTGTGTTAGGCTTGATGGATTCATGTCAACAGAAAATGTAGTGTTGTCTCTGGATTGATAACCATGTGTCTGAAAGAGAAGTAAAAATATCCCTCTGTATCCCTTTGTAATTTTATTTAATGATCTGACCTGCTCTGATCAGTCAGAGAGGCAGCAGGGAGGGACACCTGTCCAGAGTTTGACACTTGCAGACGGATGCAGTTGCTGATTTTGGAGAACTGAAAATAACAGGATGAAATTAATCACTGTGCTGCCTTCAAAACACAGAATATTATATCTAATTCAACTTAGGAAAATAACACAAGCAACAGTCATGACACAAAGAAACAGTTGGTATCAGATCAGCCAATTCTAATGAACATAAATCAGTGTTTGAGATGTGTCCTAAAAAGCCTGATTGGAGCTTCTATGCTGACAAAAGGTGGGGTGGTGGTGACAAAGATCAAAGTCAACCATTTGGTTCAGGTCATAAAAAGTTTTAAGTTCATTTATCTATAGCTGATTATCACTAGATTGCTTCAGGGCACTTTACAGAGACAGAAAAATCAATAATAATCTCCCAGTGAGCAAAACAATAGAAGTTGTAGAGAATAGGACACAAAATTGCCCCAGCTCTATGAACCTCTGGTGAAAATAGTTTTTTGACTTGCTGTAAATGTGAATGCACAGCAGACCGATAGCAGAGGGAGGTTGAGAGCTGACTAATGCTTTAGAAAGCTAATGGGGCCCATTAACAAGGACTTGGTTTGCAGGCAGGTAGAAAGGCTTAAAGCCTATAGGTTGTATAAGAGCAAGGAGGAATAAAAATGAACAGTAATTCATCTTCTGTGTTTAGCGCTCTATTGAGATAAATGCATGAATAAAGGCTCTAAATAAAACATGAATCACATTCACTGCCCTTGAATCTTCACGCATTTACATTGTATGCATGTGAGCAACACCAAGTAAATAGTACTTCTATTTCCATTTTTATTACTGTTATCAATATAATATTTAAAAAAACACAGGAACAAAGCCCTTGTTTGATCACGTACCTTGAACTCCATGGGCGTGTACTTCTCATTCTTTGGCGTGGTGTTGCCCTTGTAGTTAAGGTGGTTTGGGGTGGTAGGGTGAATGATGGCAGACTCCTGCGAAGGCTTATGGACACGTTGACAATAGACGTAGATCAAGAAGGACAGCAGCCCCGCCCCAAGGAAACAGGAAACACCGGTGGCTATTAGGTGGATGGAGGTGAATGCTAGGAAACAAAGAAGATTCGTGGAGTGTTATTTAAGACTCAGCATACGTTATCACATTCTTCTCACAACTTGGCTTTATTGACATCCCAAACCTACCGCAATTCGCAATCTGAATTAGATTAAGGCAGATTTCAAATAGGCAGTACTAAGGTGGTACGGTTAAGACACGTACCCTATAACCACAACATCCCCAGTTCAGCTATGGCCTTTGTTCCATATTTTCGGGCTATATCTACACTGTACAGGTTGACAGTAAAATGTCAAAAGAAAAAATTGTTGTTGGTTTCTGCAACCAATTTTCAACCTGGAAACACTGTAAAATTTCTAAACTATTCACCAAAATCAATCTCTGAATGCATTTAGGTGAGAAAACCATGGCTTTACATAAGTGGTCACACAGGTGTACACACTCATCAATATTACTCTGTTACTAATGCTGACGCACCAAAACCCTTAGCTTTTAATTTGCTTAATTTAGCTAAAATGTAATGTTCATGTATGTGTTAAATGCTGATTAATTGTCCCAGCAGAATCCTTGTTGCTTATTGGATTCTTTCCGAGCTCCGTCAAAGAGCAGAGCTTTTTACACTAAATAAAACTGTGTAACTCATTTAGCCCATGATGTAGCTCATGCTCCAGCTGTCCGAGGGTGCTATGAGAGACCTGTAAGTTAATCGTTCCTTATTATTATGCAATAGAACACTAAGTTACAAAGGCTACGACAGGAAGTGATTAAGCTAAATTATTTAAATATTGTATGTCTATTTGTCAAAAGTTATTTAAGCAATTATGATCTGTTTATGTTGATTTTTACTCTAGGACAGGAATATGAACTTGGCTTTGTATTTTTGGTTTGTACCTATCAGTACTTTGAAGAAATCGTCAGTTCTCTGCGTGTTTGTGGAACATTGCACAAGCAAAATTGCAAAATGTGTCTCCATTTGCAATTATCCAACAGTTGGAAAACTTGTAGCCTGTTCCAGGCACATCATGGTGTACATAATGTTTCTTCCTGCTCCTGATTGGAATTAGAATTTTGCACAGACTGAAATAAACACGCACATGAAAATGCACATATAATGCATGAATACACACATCATGGACAGACATCTGTAGAAACATGCACAGAGAAACAAAGTGAAGGCAGCTGTTCATCCACTTACCTCCACAGTGTTGGTCCTTATCAAAACCAGATGCAGGGAGAATGACTGCAGAGAGGAGAGGAACACAGGGTCAGACACACATGCATGCACACACACACACACACACACACACAACATGCACACGCGCACATACACTCTCCCTGGAGAAGCAGCCTTCAGAACACAACAACCACCGACTGTAACATCAGGGGAGTTGACACATGCAGAAACAAAAACATGGAATGAGAAATTGAAATGTCGTTTAAAATGTTGCATAGAGAGCTTTTTTTGCATCAGGGAATTCCAAAGTTGTTTAACGAAAAAAATCTCTGTCCGACTTGCTGTTAGAGACACTTGACGGCAGGGCAATAATTTACAGCTACAACGCGTGTTGTCCCCCACAAATCCTACAAGGAAAGAACGGAGCACAGAAGGTTGAGATGAGTGTGAGCAGATTTAATTGCAGTGCCACATCTCCTGATTAATTTTTTGGCCTAATTTTTCAGCTTCCTCCCCTCTGCGAGTGACCTTAACAAATCCATCCATTGCCTCATTGAAATTTGCAATAAAATTAGATGTGATTTGGTGTTGTGACAACCCATTAATATTAATCGCCTGCATGTGGACTCATTAGGGATTCTGAGCATGCAGAGGCTAACAGTGGCAGGCCATGAAAGATCATTTCAGGAGAAACTTTCTGAGATTGTCATCAGCATAACAAGGTGCACTGTGGCTAACAGGGTCAACTGCTAACTTGTTGGATTCACATGGACTTAATTATGGTTAATTAACAGAAGCAGATTACTTTAGTGCATGAAGAGACACACAAATAAGACATGTTTGCGTGTATGGACATGTTTGTAAATGAGGATGATGACTGATGAATGACTATGATTTGACAAAGACAGACAAGCTGTGTCCCAAAATCACAAGCTGCCTCTTTCGAATGATGCTGCCAACAAGTATTTGGCCTAAAGGATTGTGGCCCGAACCTAAAACTCCCCCCAAAATCTGACCTTGCACAGACCAAAGCCAGCAGTGTGTTTGGGTAAAACCTCAAATAGATGACAAGCAGTAACTGATTTAGTAATTATTAACCATAGGGCTTGGTGATAAATCAATATGAATAACTTTTAGTGGAATTATATTGTGATTATATAATCTCATCATATTAATTAATTAAAAACAGTTTGGTCCCACTGAAAGGTTTGGTCACCTTTGTACATTCTGCATATGATTGTAAAGTGAATATTTTTAGACTCTTAGTCAAAACAAAACCACATCATTTTGGGCTCTGGGAACAGACACTTTTATTGGATGGACCATTGGCAAATAGCATAACTGCTGATGCTGAAGTGTCAGACTTGGTAGACGTTTCTTTTTAAACAATTTACTTTTGTTCTTAACCCTTTTCTTGTTCGTAGTATCCCACTAACATGGTAAACAAAATCTGTAACTTTTGTAAACTTTTTTTAAAGTGAACAAAGGTAAACCACTTGAACAAGCACATCATGTACTCACTTTCCACATAAAAAAACGAGCCTACAAGTTCCTGCATGAAGGCATCATACCGTTTTCCTGACATAGACAACCCAAAAGCATTATAAAACTAGTGAAATACATGCAGTGTATTTTGGGATATTTAAGGCTGCAAAGGAAACCGGTTGTGTCCTGGCAGATGGACGTAGCACTCAAGGAAGCTTTGAACAGCCAACCTCGACCTGTTATGACGTCTTTGAAGGAGGCTGCACAGGTACAGGGTGTATCTGAAACCTGTCTAACTCACCAGGTATTTCATTGCAGTCTCTGCGCTGAGTGCTGTTTCCCACACAGGGGGTGTTGCCCTGAGCACCACACACCCGACTCCTCATCTGCAAGCCTGAATCATCACAGGCTGACCACAGCGACCAGGCCATCCAGCCACCTAAACACAGAAAAAAGAGCAATCAATACAAACCCAGACAAACACAAGACCCCATCAGAATTGGACGGCCTGGAAACCAACGCGCCCACCCAAGCTGTCACCACCCGCGGCCACTAACCTTCCCAGCCAAACAGTCCAAACACACCAAAAAGTGTTTGTGATGTAAACAGGATTGGAAGAGTAAACCCGTGGAGAGTTTGTTTAGTGCATAGTGGAGATGTTTGTCTCCTGAGCCAAGCTTTAGTGCTGTTTCCCCGCAGCAGGCGACCGAGCCGTAAACAAAAGCTCCTACCCAAGAGGAAAAAGAAAATTCCCAACTCTCAGCTCCTCCCTTTGAACCATGCACTTGCTGCACTCTTTCACCCTGTATTTAAGAGCACTGGAGTGGAGGGAGCACAGGCTACTGCAATGAAAGGCCGATGAAAAAGCTGGTTTGTTATTCAGGGTGCTCTCAAGTGTGCAGTTTTGGCAGAGAGGGCCTGAGTAGAGGCAGAGGACAGGCCTCTTTTACCTTTCCTATCAGTCTGGTGCTCACGGACAGGCTGCTCTGTCTCCACCATCTGCTCCCTTCTTGCCGCACAACCATCTAGGCACACAAAACACACCGACCACCTCAAACGTGTTTAATAACCATGCATCACTACAGCCTGCTTTAATTGCTTCATTTATTCCCATTTATTTTTGTCACCCGGACAACCTGCGTGATCGTACTGTTGAGTCAGAGGAACGCCATCAGGCCTGAGGCTCCTCGTTAGTATTCTGTCCCGACAGTCCTTCCTGCTGTCCTCTATTACTGGTGGAGACTTTAATCAAATGACCTGCGACAGGGACATCAAATATCCCTCTGACTGACAACCAGCTTGCCCATAATTACACATGCAGAGAGGATGACGGCAGCAGGAGGACCCCAATAGATGACTGATGTTGCACCTGTCAATAAACCAATGGACGAGGAGACAGATCATGGCTGGACAGGTTGTTAGCAGACAGTCGATCGGCAAAAGCAAGCGCTGGTCCACATCAAACAGGAAAACATTAACCTGATAAAGGAGGCTGATTAGCATCTTGGCAAAGTTAGAAAAGAAGACAAAAAGCCATTTACCTTCCTCTGTCTGTAATTACCAGGGACGCTGACTGTAAGCGTTACTCTCCCTGTGAATGACAGTTGAGCTGATGCAAAATGAAACGCAGCTTAGGAAAACGACAGTAAAGCGGAAACAACTATTTAATTCAGGCAGAAATCTTTGGCCCTACAAGGCACAACTGTACACACACACACACACACACGAGCAGACACACATACTGTGAAACACACACAAAGACCCTAGACAATATTTTTCTAGGCCATTTTGTTTTCCAATGAAACAAAGAAAATACGAAAATCACACTAGTGACAAAACGTTGAAGGCTGTGTGATATTAAACTCTAGCATCAGAGTCAGGCTGAAACCTTAGTGTGAGTTTTGATGAAGGACTTTTTTTTTCTCTCCTCCTGGATTAGCAGGCAGATCTCTCATGAATATTTCAGTGTCCTTGTGGGAGCAGAATGGGAGTAGAGGGGGAAGATACAGAGGGCGTTGTTATACATCACACATCTCATCATCACATGGTGTGAGACTTTGGGTGAAGCGAGGCTAAGCTCCAAATCAAAGAAAAAAAAATTTAGCGCCATTAGAGCACCTCATTTGGGATAAGCAACCCAACAGCAACCTTAACGCTTTTTCCATGTCTTCTTGTGTTGCTGTCTACTTCTGTTATTTCTCTTTTTAATGTGATGTTCAAGTTATGTTATTGAAGCATAAATTCATGCAAATGACGAAAACACTCTCACTTACCTCTTGTGGTATCGTTTAGTTTTTATTTATCCAGATTTTAAGATATCCACCTCTGAGATTTTTATCTTCTTCCCAATGGAAGTAAAATAAATTAAATGTGTAAAGCTCACAGCATGGAAAAGTTACATTTAGAAAAATAAACAGTGTTACTCTTTCACTGGATACTTTCAGCAGTCAACAGTTTCTTAAAGTTTGCTTTCTTTTTGAGTCCAAAACTGTTCACAATGTTCTGTGGATTACCTAGAGCAGGGGGTTCAAGGTTTACAGGAATCTAAGGCCCACATATGAATTTTACCAAAGATCATAAGTGTGGAAAAAAGCCAAAAAAGTTCACCAACAAATTACAAAGTTTGTCCATAACTGACTACACTTGGTCATGGTAATGACATTAGTTCTTACAATTGGACCAGAGTGAATGCTCACAAAAACTGAAGATGGATTTTGCAGTTTAGTAATTAATGTACAAGTTGGTCTAAATAAGCACCAACCTAAAGTAACTGGGACTCTTCTTTTGAAATTTTAAATGGAAATTTTCAGGGCTTGGAGCAGCACAAACTGAATTCCATTCACCTCCAGAGTAAGTTTGGTCAAAGCAAAAATTGTTATTATCCAATGCACACCTGTAAGACTAGTGTGAAGGAAAAATTAATTATGAAAGAAAAACCACTGGAGGAGAATGGACCTTTGGCAGGGATCCTAGCATCCTGGACAAAAGGTACATGACTGAAACAAGATTGGTGGAAGCAGAAATATCTGAATTTCCCGGAACCACAAGAGCATGGCTAAATACTACTAGAGGAGAGTAAGAAAAAATTACAAAACTTTTGTACTTCTTTTCTGTCAATACTTTAATTTTTGTCAAAAACTTGTCAGGATCCAGACAGATAGATAAACACTTGGTACTGTGGTATTTGCTTGCTTTCTAGTACTAGTGTCAAACATGCACCCTACATACACAAGCGGTTGAAATTTCAGAGACATTATGTAAGATTTCCATATTTTCAGCACACAAGTGGATCTCTTTTTAAACCTTCGCAGAGAGGTTGCCATGGCGCTCAGAGCACAGCAGGAACCGATACGGTGGAAGGATAGGTTGTTTTCTCAGCATGATTCTGTTTATCTTTTCACATATCTAAGACCTGGTTTATTCATTAGGAAAAGATGAAAGAAGCAATTTAGTGAAGGGGACGACACAAAAATGAAACGTTGTGTGGGAGATGATTGCCTGCCTGGAGGCGTGATGAAAGGGCCTCAAGCGGTGGTGGCATGACAGAGTTAGATTTTGAATTTATGTGTGACCTTACCATCACAAGTGTGTGTGTTACACAGGGCCTCTTCAGTGTGTAGTCCTAGGCAGATGGCCCCTCCATTGGCGGGTGCAGGGCTGTTACAGGAGCGTGTGCGTTGGTAATGACCACCGCCGCAACCCACTGAGCACTGAGACCAGGACGACCAGCAGGACCATGCACCATTCACTGTAATACACACACACATAAATAATAATTAGAGCAGTAGGCCAGTCTTTCTATGCTATGTAAAAAACTATGGATGATTTAGTGGCATCTAGCGGTGAAGTTGCAGATTGCAAGTAACTGAACACCTCTTGTGCCTGTATTTGATGACCTGGGAATGACAACAGGTTGGGAAGTGTGTAGTAGAAGCTATGTTGGATGCGAAACTGGCAAAAAATGATAAAGTCCCTATCTACAGGCAGTGTTTGGTTTGTACGTTCTGGGCTACTGTAGAAACATGGCAGTTCAACATGCCAGACTCTATGGAAGGCAAGCCTAGATTAAAACGTCTTGTGTATATAAAAAGGATTCCTTCATTGAGGTGATCATACTATGTACTATATGTACATGTTTTTGTTTATATAATATTATATTCCATTTCTGCCAATAGATCCTCCTAAATGTTACACATTAATACAAACCCCTCCCCCCACACAGACACACACAGACACACAGACACACACACACACACACACACACACACACACACACACACACACACACACACACACACACACACACACACACACTCTGTGTTTTTTGTGTTTATCTGTTGACCCCAGTGGTGAGTTGCACCAGCTGGATGTATCCCAAGGCTGCATTTAAAATATATTTTAGCCCTGAAATGGAATGTTTACCTGTTGAACCAATCTGTTTTTTAATATTTAGACCTTGTGCAGACTTTCATCACAAGGCTAGATATAGCTTAGTAACATACGCTATACCCAACCTGTTGGAGCCCAGCTGGTTGAGATGTCCTCAGGAGGACTAAGGAGACTAGGAGACTATCCTGTCTGTTCTTCTCATACCTGTACTTCTCATGTGAAGTGTTATTTCATATTTTTCACATTATACATATTTTCCTACACACACTACATACATGCAATATTTAATATATTTTATGACTTCCTATGTTCTACTGTGAAATAATTGTCTATTTGGGGTCTTAGTCTTGTCCTGATCATATCCTACTTTGTCTTTGGTTCGTCCTGTCTTCCTGTTGCATTGATTTAGTCTCCCCATGGGGACCGTTAATGTTTCATCTCATCTAATCAGAAGAGCGTGACTGACTAAATGGCTGGTTGACTGGCTGATGTCCGTCTGACTGACAGAGAGGTGGCGTTGCCAGGTAACGTCACAGTGCTGCAGAAAACTCTATTAGCTGAGTGGATTAGTGTGACACTGAGAGTGAAGCAGGCTGTGACCACTTAACACTGACTAGCTCTCACAGCCAGCAACCGCTGTGCCTGACTGACTCTCTAACTGGCTGCTGTTTACCTGGCTGACCGGCTGAGTCTGACTCACTCAACGACCCACTGACTACCTGACGGATGTACAGTTTATGACTCTGTCTGCCTGTCCTCCTGTGTGTGCTGACCTGCTTCATTTATGTTCAGAAATATGAAGTCAGGAAGCGTGAAATGTGCCATTCCCAACCTTCATGTGTCTGTTTGGCTGCTCACAACTCACGAATACTAGAAACTTTCATTTGAACTGGATGAATTACATTCATTGGGATGCTGGGAATTTTGGTTTTGGACTACAAACTTAACTTAAAGGACTGTTTTTAGATCAGAAGTTACTATAATGAAACTCATAACTGAACTCAGGCTAACTGTGACCCACTGGCTGCCTGCCTTTTCTCTCTCTCACACACGCCACCTTTCTCTACGCACACACACACTAGCACACTATTCATTTCAATCTTCTCAGCAATCTATATTGCCTCCATCCTTCTCTCTAATCTCATCATCAATTACTATTTTGCACTCATTCTCTTTTTTGTCAGTGGCCTTGTCCTTCTCACCTACGTTTCTACCCGGGACAGGCGCGGTGAGACCAGCTGTACACGTGACACTCATGGCAAAAGGTTTCCTGATTGGCTAGCTTCCAGGGGGACGTAACCAAGGCTGCCTCTTCTGGGTATCCTTAGGTTACATATGTCAGGTACTAAGCCAATCGCTAAGGATGTGAATACCAACAACTGACATTTAAATACACTACAGGAATATGATCAGCTCTGCACCAACCTATCATAATTCATTACTTCATAAGGTACAAATCATGAATATTTAAGTCGAGCTCTTCAGAGGAGTACAGACCTTTTTCTAATGCCAGCCATTGTATGTGTGTATGCCTGTCCTCAGTCTGGTTTAATAAGTGCAGCCTGTCAGTCTGTGGCCAGCAGAGTTCTAGGTCAGCTGATTATGGTTTGATGAGGAGTTTGAAATAGATAACTTCATTTGTCCAAGGACTCTCCCCGCACTGCCGTAGCTGCTGGTAACCATTAGCTAATGAAGCTAATGATCCACTCAGCAGTATTTTACTACCACCATTGACCTCCCACGCTCTCTGTCTCTATCCCGGTCTCTCAGTGTGCATGTCTTTTCTTTATGAATAAATACCATAATATACTGAAGAAGTTAGAAAAAGGCCAATAACTGACTGTGTTTGTAACTTCCTGTATTCAAGTTGATTTGGAAAGACTGTTGGGACGACATAATTGACGTTCCGTGCAGACTGTGGTTGGTTATTCAAAAACCTGATAAAACTAATTTATATATTTATGTCTACATTTATTCATATACTGCCTCTTTTACTGTATTTATTTAATACGCATATTTATTTATGTATTTAATATTTACTTAAATGGCATTCCATGTTTATGCCTCAATACATAAAAACTGTCATGCTTTCTGCTTTCAGATGACATCACAGTTTACAGTAAACAAGGTCATCCTGTGTCAACCACATCTCAGAATATACCTCAGATAATAGAAAATGAACAAATGGAGCGAAGCCTGCGAGCTAGTTCAGGCAGGTCAACTCGAGCTGCGCTGATTACACACATGACATGCCTTATTCCATAATCACTAACCAAGCGCTCCCCTCCAATCTGGCGGTCTATTTAAACTGCACAATTTCCCAGCTCTCCCTCTGCCCTGCATCCTTATTGCTGCTGCTGCTCTGTAAGCCCCACCACCACCCCAGCATCCACCTGTAGGCTCCGACTGGGGGTTAAGGTATTTGCTCATCACTCCCCAATATCTCTATCTAAACATATCTGCGGGGAGTGATGAGATTAGAGCCTAGACGCCAAAATCTAAATATGCTATACTGCTTAATAAACATTCCAAACATGAGTTGCCTGACTGAAATAGTGTTGCTGTGCAAGGGGTGTTTTTAAAATCAGATTTTTGTATTCTGATCGGATCCTCGCCTTTTTTTTTTTTTCCACAACATAATAAAGTAAGTAAGTATTAGTGCAATCGGTCATGTAGACATGGTTTTTGGTGTGTATTTACTCACCAGGACATGCCTGGACGTTGCAGTCCTGGTACTCCACAGGTGAGCCACGGCATGCAACGGGGGCGCTCTTCCCTTCTGGTCCGGCGCAGGTTCGCCGACGAGTGCGGTAGCCTTTGGCACAGCTCTGTGAGCAGCTTGACCAGGTTTCCCATGATGACCAGCCGGCACCCGCCACTCTCACCACCGGTGTCTTCAGGAGCTCCTCGACAAGTGCTACAGAGAGCAGAAAGAGTGGGGGGAAAAAAGAAATTGTACAGTTCCAGGTTAGATTAAAGTCACAGAAATATATGCAGTGCTGTCAGATAGAGAGTTTGAAGTATTTAACGACAGATATGAAGCATGCAGATTCTTTGAGTGTACATGACTTTGCCAGCAGGCATATTTCTCTGCTTGTCCTTCTCTCAAACTCTGTCTGTGTCTCATCCATCCCACAGTTCCCTGCTGTCGGTGCTTCATCTGTTTGTCAGAGTCGATGCGGCCCCCCCAGGAGGCTGACAGGGGGAGACAGGTAATCGATTCAGGAGAGGGGGGTATGAAAAAGTCACCAGTGGGGAGCGGTGGAGTGTGACCCTGTGTAGCTCTCTCTGTGTCAGTGTGTATGTGGGCGTGCTGGACTGCGACCCCGTCACTAACAGCATGTAGGGGAACTAACAGGTCTAACAGGGAACCCTTTCAACATGTCAGGCTCTGACTGGAAGAAATCTTAGCGTGCTGCTGCCTTCTCACTGTGTTCAAATACAGGAGTGAGAATATTTGTGTGTGGTAATGTGTGTGCAATACTGTAACTCTGTGTACACATAGATACAGACTTCAGATTAATATCCTATTGACATTTCCCAGTGCAAACACTAAAACAATCTGCTCAGACCTTTTGTCTTTTCGCACATTTTATTTTCTTTAAACACTTGCTTAATCGTCAGTGTCATCAAGTTACATTTTCACTTTAATGTCAGTTTATTTATAGTGCAGCATCACCCCATGGAGTCCCTAAGACTAAAGAATAAATGAAAACACCAGACACACACCATGGCCACTCAAGCACACACAATCATAAAAAATTACAATTGATGGTGATAACAGAGACCGTTACAGTTAGTTCAGTTACGGTAAACAAGTGAAGGTTACTAGTTGTCAGGTAGAAATGACCACCAAATGTGGTGTGTGGGGGACCGTTTAAGGGGTCTTATGACGAGGGTCCCATCATTTGATAGAATTTCATGAATTAATGTATATTCTAAAGATAGGGACAACAGAACCTTTTGGTGTTACTTTATTGTTATTAAGAAAACTACACTATTGTTGCTGTCATAGTCACACTTGTCTATAGCGAAGCTCCAGGTTTGTCTCCGGACAACATCATCTGAGACGAACAACTTCTTAGATATCATACCAATATGTGAATTATATTTTAGAGTAGATTTTCCCTTGAATTTAGAATTTATTTTATTTCCCCACATCCAGATACCGGACCACATCACTGTGTCTGACGGCTGGTTAACTTACTATCGGTCTCGCAGGCTGCTGTACCATCATTGGGACAGAAGCGTGTCTCCACCTTCCTGCGTCCGATCTGCAGCTCGTGGGGATCAGACAGGTGGGCCCGGCACATGTAGCGCATCCTCTGCTCCTGACGAGCTCCGCCCTGAGTCACATTGACGGGCATCCAGGGAGTCCAAGGTGTGTTCCTCTTTACCTCTGGACACGCCTCAAGGTTACAGGCTTTATACTCCTGAATAAGAAGTTGGCAGGAGTTAGGGGAGCAGTGGAGGAAGTTTTAGTCATAATTTAAAATGCTAATTTGTAAAGCCTTGCTAGTAGATTCTAGAAGCTGCATTGTTAATTACATCCCACAACTCCACGTTAGGATAAAAGAACAAAACAATGTGCTAATTATTTTGCTAACCAGCAGTGTTTGTCCTCAGGGTGGTACTTGAGAAAAGGTCAGGGGGTTAGAAAAAATCTAAAGAGTGCACCCTCCGGCAGTCTTCTAGATTTTGACATTTCTCGTGCACACATGGAAATTATTGCCTCATGGTGGCGGCAGTGGGAAGATCCAGGGATCACTAGGATCAATAGAAGTCTTTAGTAAACACAAACATCTGAAACAAAACTGCCCATACATTTTAGAGATTTTGATATCAGTCTTCAGATGAAAGAATTTTATGCCAATCTCTGACTCTAGGTAAGATGGCAAAGAAGGATATATTTTGTTCGGTTTCTATAATATCCACAACTGTATGTATTATGTGCATGGAGACACTGAAACAGTGATATATTTATATTACAAACTGAACTCCAGGTGGTCACACATTGACAAAGAAATGTGACATTTTGTTTTGATGTCAAGGATGGAAACATTCCGTTACTGTACTCACTCCAGCTGAGCCGTTCAAGGTCAGGAGAGAAAATTTTAGGCGTGCATGTATTTATCTCTGCTGTCATCATCACCTGCTCACCTCTTTAATGATTTTGCCCTCACTTCATTAAAGTGTCACTGTTCAGCAATACACACAGTTAAACACGTGTAGATGACAAAGCTACAGCAACAGTGTGTCTCTGTTCAAGAAACTATTCATGTGTCCTTAAACTAATAAATGTCTGCGAACAAGCCCACAGGCTTTATCATAGAGGCAGGGAGACAGATTCTACTGAGGCGGACAGATGTTCTGCTATGTCTTTGTTTGTTTCTCTCTCTGTGTGTGTGTGTGTGTGTGTGTGTGTGTGTGTGTGTGTGTGTGTGTGTGTGTGTGTGTGTGTGTGTGTGTGTGTGTGTGTGTGTGTGTGTGTGTGTGTGTGTTTCCTACCAGTGCACATCCTGGGCAGCTGTTGCCATTCTCACAGGTGCGGACCCTGGAGTGGACACCTCCCCCGCATTCTGTGCTACACTTTGTCCAGGAGCCCCACGGGGACCAGAAGATAGGCTGAGGACAGGACACCCCTTCATTGCAGAACCTGTGGAGAGGACAGTGGTGGGAGAGGAGGTGTGGAATTTTGAGAGGATTAATTGTAAGACAAATACAGTTGCAGTGAGAGCTGAAGACTTGAGATTTGGACTGGAGTCTGACTTAAAGGTCCAGTGTGTAACATTTAGGAGGATCTATTGGCATAAATGGAATATAATATTTATTAGGTATGTTTTCATTAGTGTATAATCACCTGAATACAGGAATTGTTGTGTTTTTGCTACCTTGGAATGAGACATTGTTATCTACAGATGATATAATAATAATACAAATAGATAAAGAAAGTCTTCAGAGTATCAAAGCGACTAACACACATGGTTACCTCTCATCTCTGCTCGGCCCCACACACACACGGCCACCATGTCGGGGTGAGGGGTTGTTACAAGAACGCTGGCGCAGCTCGAAGCCTGTACCACAGGTTGTGCTGCACTGTCCCCATGACGACCAGGGCGTCCAGCCTCCATTTCTATGGCAACAGACACATGAAAAAAGTATTAGCAACCTATTTCACGATGCTTCCAAAATCCTACATAATTATTCACCAGAGCTCTTAGTGTTATTCTTTCCCAGGGTGTTCTCTAATGCTAAAGGGGAAAAAAAGAAACCGCTTTTTAGCTTTGTCTAATCATTACTTTGATTCTGAGCTTCTGAAAACTGAAATGCAAACACACAGGGAGCTCATTCTGACTGGGAAACATTCATTCAATTTGCTTAAGTGCTTTGTTCCTCGGTAGCACTTCTCATGATTTAATTGCCACTTTCTGCAAAAGCACAATTCAATTTTGACACCAAGGATTAAATCTGGCATAGCTATCCAGTGGGATGAAGGTGCCAGTGCTCTTTGTCTCTGCTCTGTCCTCTGTAATGCTGATTGGCCTATTCCCCTGCAGACTGTGGCACTGAGAGGTGTCACAAGGAGAATCTGGACGTCACCTACATTTTCTAATAAGATTCCTCGCGTTCATGATCTTTCTCATGTTCTGTCAGCGTGTAAATTGTGCCCCGAGGTGGACGCTTCAAAGTCAGTGAAGACATTGCTGCTACAAGAGCAGAGTTTAAGAAAAGATGTTAGAGTTCTCCTGATCCTGGACGAGACTCATTTGCAAAATGACAGGCTTAATGTGCTCAATCATAGCACTGGAATAATTTCAACTTGACAGTGTTTAGTGTACTGGGCCAGAATACATTATAAATCCACCAAACCTCAATCATTGTTTTTGTTATTTATGATATACTATCAATCCTATGATTAATAGATAGATTATATATTATTTTTAAGCTAATATACTGTGAATCCACAGCTTTGGCTTAGCCAAAGCATGCTTATTTGTAAAGCACCTTTCACACACAGAGAAGTAGTCTACATAAGGAAAAGAAATACATTAGAGCAACAGGTAAATCACAATAAAGAAATAATAATTTTGAAATTAAATAAAATTTAATTTAATTTAAAAATCTGTGTAGGCACTAAAAGAAGCTTCACTGTGTTTTGGTTCTGACCCGAAGTACCACAGACCGACTGCTTCCTAAAGATCTAAGGGAGCTATTGGGTTAATATTCTTCACGCATATCAGAAATGTATTTCACCCCAGGGCTGCTAAGTAATTTATAAACTAGACACAGCACATTAGAATCTATTCTGTAAAGATTTAGGAAGAGGATTTAATTTGCTCTGTTGTCCTGGTTCTTGTTTGGAATGTCTGAATTGGCTCAGTTTCTGGACTGCATTTTTGTGTTTTATTGTATGTAACAAAAGGGCAGATTTAGATGCACTGATGTTATTTGGAGATTTATGTCACATTTTGAACTTAGTTAAACTTTTGAACATTAAATATATCCATATTATTATCATTATTATGATGATGAGTATTAGTCTTTATCATCATCAATGTAAAAATCCATCAATCAATTTTCAATACCTCGAGCAGTTGGAGACTTCAATGGTGGGGCCCTCACAGTTTTTGCCTCCACATCGAGGGGCAGGGCTGTCACAAGACCTGGAGCGACACAAACAGGAGCTCACACCATCCACACCATCATCATTGTTGCACGGTTGCCATGGCGCCCAGGGTCCGAAGCCACCATTGGTGGTTTGGTTCCGCAGCTGGAAAGCAAACATCAGCCGTGACAAGAGTTAGATCAGGTCACGATACATTAGCCTCGGTTATTCAACCACCTAAACACTTTGAATGCAGCTAGACAGGACTTTTGCTTCCAAGATAAAGAGTAAGTGTTTTGAGAGAATTACAGAGGAATACATTTACTGCAATTCACTTCATACAGTCGATCTCAGAGTATCTAATTAATTTCAGTTCAGTCCAATGCACCTAGCTTTCTTCCTCTACTAGCACTGTGTCCTTTCCTGGCTTGTACAACAAACACTTAGAAGTCATTAGTCATGAATGATGTCAACTACTATGACCTGTGAGAGATGACATCAACAGGGCGGCCCCATGAGAGTCTTACAGCCCCATGAGGATAGACGTGACGGTATGTAAACCTTTCTTACAGTAAATGCTGCAGTGATGTTACTCTTACCGGACAAACAGTGATGTTCTGCTTCCACTGACTCATATTGGAGCTGTCCTCCAGTGTGGTGCATCTGCGCTGCCTGAAGTCCCAGCCACAGTAGGGGTCCCTCGCCTCCAAACACAGCCTGCAGGGGACAGCAGAGGAGGAGGACTCTGTTGTCAGCAATGTGTGTAGTTAATAAATAAAGACAGTGCACATTAATAAACATTATGGTAAATGTACAAGAGTTAGACAAAAACATAGATAAAATAAGCAAATATGTTAAAAGAGCAACTTTACACCCAGTTTTAAACATCCCTGTCTGGGACCAGAATAAATTGAAGGTTAAATAAGTAACTGTATATGATAAGTTTCTTTCAAACAATCAATCACAAAGTCTCAAAAAAGAGGTTGATAAAATAAAGACCAGCGATAGAAATCTGTGAGTAAACCGCATCCAAACACACTGACCTCAGACCTGCTGTATTGTACACACATAATAAATAACCAAAAAATTACTAAATCAGACTTTCAGTAAATCGTTCCTGCCTCACCTCTCAGACAAACAACACTATACACGGTACATCACCCAAACAGTGATTAAATATTTGTAAGCTCCTCCAGTAAAACAGAGGCTTAATGACGGCTAATTAAATCTAAAGCTGTTAATGACGAGGCTAAGCCGCCAGAGCTGATCTGGATGCCTCAGGAACGCAGGATAAAGGCATCAACTGAATAACCCCTCTCTCTCAAAGACTCCCCTTCTCTTTCTGCCTCCCTTCCTCTCCTTCATAACCCCCTTTTTTCTCTCTCTTTCTTCAATTGTCCTCCCTCACTCTCATCCTACTCTCGCTCCTTCTCAACTCCTTCATCACAGCACTGTAGGATCCCTTCCTCCTCTCTCTCCATTCAGCTGAAAGGAAAGTTTGTTGTTGTTGTTGTGTTTTTTCTTTCTTTCCTGGCACAGACCTTCATGGTTTATTTGAAGAGCCCTGTAGTGTTTTAGCCTGAAGGGTTGAGGAATCTCCAAGTGTTGATACAGCTCTCTGCGCCAGGTCTGGGGCTCTGTGGTGAGCCCGGGGTCGGCTTAGATCCAATAAAGACATTACTGCTTAGCCAGCACATCAGAGGTGACCCCTCAGACAAGAGTGACCGAGCACAGGAGGGGAAAGGAGAGAGAGAGAGAGGCCATGTTCTCTGGCGATCTGTGGCACAGCAGGAAGAGGACGACTTCCTCCATGAGTGCGGCTTTCACTGCTAACCTTCTTGTGTGTCACTTTAATTAAGCGGCACCATTACTGCGACGCCGGATGCAATCTCCAGTACAGATGAAACAATAATCATAATGAGGTCAGCCACAAAATTCACAGTTCAGTGAACCTAATAGTTCATTTGAAAGGGCGGAGGGAGGAGCGTGTTGCCATTTTGGCTCAAGGTCGACAATATTGTATCTGTGACGGCTTTGATGTGTGGCTTTGTATCGTCATCGTAGCTGAAGAATTCTCATTTGGGTTTCTGATTACCAACACACTCACCTTCAACACACACACAGACAGACACCATTACAGAGATTAGCTAAGCGGAACAATTAATACGTGCATATTTCAAGGATGGAATAAATAATGTTATATGAGAGGGAGAGGTGGGAGAGATTTGAGGCCTAATTAGCTCTGGGTAAAGTGCAGAGAGGCATGCTGGGAGGCTTCTGACCTCAGGGAAAGACACGTTTAGTTCTGGATTCACCGTTTGCATTAATTTAGACAGAAATGCTGCTTGAAATATGAAGAAAAGACAACTACAACTCAACTTAGCAGTTTAAGCTCTTAAGACCAGAAAAAATGTAACAGCTATAAAGAAACAGCTGACAAACTGACTGCAGTGCAGGTTAGAATGGGGGTTAATGCTGTGGGGTTAGACGTCCACACAGCTGCAGGCACACGTGTGCTCACAAGAACACACAGACACCTAAAACACAAGGTATGCTAATAGTTTGTCTGCTTCAGTTTTCCCACAAATATCTACACCTATTTGAATTCAGAACTTTCTCACAAATTGGTACTGTAGCTACTGCACTATGTGGCCAAAAGTATGTGGACGCGTGTCTTGAACTGCTTTTCCCGGTTTGGGCAAGTCACCTTAGTTCCAATTAAGGCAAATCTTAAAGCTAATGCATATAAACTTTAACCAGGTAGTCTAGTTGAGATTGAGATCGACTCAACACAATCAACACAAAGAAACAACCAGCATACAAAAGTAACACAAGTAGAGATGATGTGAAGTATTGGTATCTGAGCTGATCCTTGGCTAATTTAAATACAATCCTTTTTTTACTGTACTCGGGGTGTATGTGGATGTAAAAATTATTTAATTGCCCCCGTGACTGATCTGACACCCTGGCTGGCAAAATTTGCTAAGGTAACCAATGGTAACGAACACCATGAAATGGTTTCCTCTTTATAGCAAAGAACGGTGCACAAAAAATTCAGCTGACAGCTTCTCAGTTTTTAAAAAGGACTGATGATTTCAACTCTTTAAATGACAAATGTCACTAGCAGTAGGTCATATTCTCTCACTAATTAATGTTAATTCTGAGAGTAGATTGAAGATGGACCAAAATAAGTTTCTAATTTGTGTTCTCTCTGCAAGCTTGTTCTAGCTGATAGCACATCATTCTTGCAGTTAAACTTTCATTCATATATGAATAATTTACGCAAATCAATTTCATAGTTTTGAACAAGGGCCTTTTAAAGAAGCTTGTAAAAAATACGTTTGCAGACCACTTGATTTTTTGTTCTTTAGATGGAGACTGCTGTCCCACAATGCCATGCACAAAGGGAACAAGAAACTTCTCACAGCTGCAACTAAAACAAAATGTGGATGATAGTGAGAGCTAAAGGAAGATCTTGGAAAACAGTAAAAGTAATGAACATTGATTTATTTTATACTAATGTAAAAAAACAGCATATTATGACATATGTAGCATACATAATGTATTCTAATAGTATAATATGTGGAAATTGGGACACAGCACAGGTTTGCAGTCTCAGTATTTATTCCAATAGTTTCCTTCACCAGGGGCCATTTAATAAACGAGGATTTACCATTGGAGGGAAAAAAAGAAGGTGGACCAAGGCGTTTATCTCCCACTCTGACCTTTCTGCAGCTGCATAAAACACCAGCCAAGCGCTCTCAGTGCCTTCCTGTCCCGACGGCTCGCCGTTTTTTAAAAACAGGGCTGCTGTAAAAGTCAATTAGAGGCAGTATGGGTGGAGAGGGGCCCTTGTGATGAGAATAGAAAAAGCAAATTTCTGTAACAGGCAGTGCAGAAGGATGTTAGCCCAGACAGGAGGCTGAGTCTGCAGATACACAGGAATGTGAGTCATCCAAACTTTCTGAGAGAGTGTGAGTGTGTGTTTTCTGAATATCCCTCCGTCTGTATACACTATAAGGGCGTTTCTTTGTACCGTGGGTGTGCCACCATGTGTGGGAGCATCGCTTTGACAAGTCTGCAGGGCACTGGCTGATATTTAATTCAGCAGCGTGAATGCCCGGTGGCACACTATATCAAAACAGTGAAGCCATGGAACATGGTCTGTTAAATTTTAAACAGACTGAGCTGCAAAACCCACCAGCCTATATAACAATATGTCTGGACGAGTGGCATCGGAAGATAAATCTGCCGGATTCTCTCTGTGGAGGTGTAATTGGCATTTTAAATCGTTTGTGAACGCTGTAAAACCAGCGTCTCCTTTTATTACAGGCCCTTTAACAACTAGACATAAAAACAATAGTTCACCTCGCCTTTAATGGCAGGCCGTCAGTGTATAATTGCAAATATGATCACCAGAGCTGATAAATTATGGATTGGAATCAGCCATTATTAGCTGTAGCGCTGACACTCTGGGAATACGTTAGCAAAGACTGTCTGGAGGGTCTTACAAAGTTAAACATATGTCTACAAACGCTGGCCCCTCTCCATCTCTCCACACTAGCTGTGTCATTTTTTGCAGTGACTCTCAGGAGACCGCTGCTGACAGGCGCTCGCTCCTCATCCTCTCTCTAGGGGAGAGAGCCCGTCCCTGGGGCTTTTTTCCCCCACTGCGCTGGGCTGAGCTGGCCATTCAGGAAGTCTGCTCATGATGAATCGGAAACACAGAGAACTCCTGCTAGCACTCAGCGCTAATACATCCAATTAGACCCAGTTGGAGCCAGGCTGAAGACTGATGGTGCTGGGTCCAAAAAAAAAAATCAGGAAAACAAAAGTGAGATGGCTGTCTGCCAAAAACTGCCTGCTGTCCTCCATGTACAATTTTAGCCCCTGGTGAATAAAAAGGAGCTACATCATCACAGAGAACCCATGAGGAGGCAGAGACAGGCTACAAGGCAGAGAAAGAGAGAGAAGACAAGAAAGTATAAGTGTATTCACAGGCAAGGTAATAGACAGAATCAATTAGTCAGTTCATCTGAATCCAGTGTTGAATCTGCTTATGTAATCCTTTTTTTGCAGGGTCATGGTGGGATGAAGCCTATCCCAGGTCACATTAGGAAAGTGGGAAGCTACATTCCCTTCAAAAGGGCTGATATATTTAGACAGATAACCATTCACACTAACACTCATACCTATGGGAAATTTAGTCACCAATGAACCTGCATGTCTTTGGATTATGGAAGGAAACCCATGCAGGCACTGGGAGGACACTCCGCGCCTTCTTCCTGTAAAGTGACAGTGCTAACTGCGCCACCATGTCACCCTTCTTTGTGAATCCCTTATCGACTATCTTTCAAGATCTGTAACCAACTAAATTTATGAGCTACTAAAACTGAAAGATTCAGTTCACAACATTTCTTTTACCAAATACTGGAGCTCCTAATAATCTGCTAAAGTCATTGATATGATATATATATGAACCTCTGAGATTCAGACAACTGAAACTGGGGTGTCAATCATCCAGATTGTTTCTCCTGATAAAATTTACGACTGACTGTTGGTCTTGTTCAACTGCCAAAACACAGTGTACTTGGAATTGTAGAGTTGCATGCAGCCACCAAAATCTCTTAAAATTCTTATTATCTTGTGAGCAAAAGATGAAAAAGAATAATCTTCTGGGACTTTGGACTCTGTTTTACGGAGTGCTTTCCCTTACA